CAACTTTTTTTTGAATGCTTCGTGGTATTTCTAGATAATAGTAAAGATTTTAGATTATTAAGATAATTGTCTGAATCTGAACTTAACACAACTCCTTGAGTTACAATTTTTATAGTCAGATATTTTATTGAACCAAAACAAAAATCTGAAAAGTAGATTGTTCACAGTGGACTACTGTTGAAATTCAATTTTTTCGATGGGTAAAAAAAACAATGATTAACTCGAGCTGAACCATTTTATACGCGCTCGACCAACGAAACGGCCCCGTAACGAACAATAAACCGCTAGACTGCAAGAGACACTAGCCACCGACTATAAGGACAACCACCTACACGGGAGTACAATATTATAAAAATCCACTCGACCGCGCACACACGCGAATGCCGATCACCGGTGGTCTTTGGCACACGACAACCTTAAACGAGCCTCAGAGCCGTAATTATTGAATATCGCAAACGCGTTTTATATTCTTGTTATAATAATGTTTTGTTTCTTGCTGACTTCGAACGAAATATTACTTGACACGCGACAATATATAATGAGTACTTATTGCATTTTATTAAGATTGGTTACAAACTTAAAACTGATAAGACATGAAAATCATGAGATACTTCGTCACCTGGTACAGCAGACTACAGGTTGGAACAAAAAGTATATATAATATACATATTATAATACATCATGTTCACGTAGCTCGTTGATACTACATAAACGTTTATCATATTGCTAAATAATGGGAAAAATTAAATTTATCATGATAATAATGTGAGTTACTCAATGCATACTTTTCTTTTATTATACTATACATTATATAAAATAATAATATCCAGGTATTGCATGTAAATATTTATAAATAATAAATATATATATATATATATATATATATATGGTTAGAGATAATAAAAATATTAAAAAAACTAAGAAAATCGTCAAAATTTGAGAAAAGTATACACGGAGTCTAACATAAATAAATATTAAATATATATATAAATAAATATAATAAACCATTACTAGAACGTCACGCACGTCTTCGGAATTTAAAATAGATTTTCGGTTAAATGGTCCAGTCTACTCACTAGTTTTATTTGCCAAAATATCCATCAGCAAACCAATAATATACTATACGAAATAATACGTACTACGTACATAGTTACTATGTATAAATATATTGTTATTATTTGATACACAATCTATTCTCAAATGCCCACGAAAAAACTATCAGTTTTATGACTGTTAGGATAGGATAGCCAATAATCAATATTAAATATAAATTATAATATACAATATTGCCATTATTCCATGTTCGTAGTAATAAAATAAAAATAATAATAATAGTACATAATAGTAATAAAATACTATAGTAAAGTAACGTTTATTTTATCTAAAGTACAAAACAAAAGCAAAAACTATTACCAACATTATAAATTAATAAAATGTGAATAATTTAGATTATAATAATGTTAGTTTTACTACTAGTTTTAGCTTAACTAGTTGAAGATTAAAGAGTACAATTTTTGTTTTTTGTTTCTATAATATTTCAAACAGTGAAACAGAGTACTAATATTTCATTAAAAACAATTAAATATCTTTTTGTTTTTAAATAAAACTTTTCATACTAAATTGTATCTATTTTATAAATAATAGATAATAAAAACATAATAATAAATTATTTAAATTCAAGACATAGAAATTTAAAAAGTATAATCTGATTGTCTACCTAGTCCTACTTAATAATAATAAACTTATAGAAAATAAGATGACTAATAAATATATGTAATTAAATAAATATTACTATTGGTACACAGAGAATATATGTTCAATATTATGATTATATCAAGGACATAACTAGAAGCTTTTTTTAAGTAATATGTTTATTTTGTTTTTTTTTTTTTATAATATCATATTCAATGTATTGTATTCAAAATAATAAAATATTATTATTAAAATATTTAAACAATATAGGTAATACTTTAATGGTGACTTCCTTACAATATGACATAATATTGCTTCTTATGAATTAAAACTCAAATAGAATAATAGTGAAAGGATGATTATTATTTCATTAACTAAGGTCAATAAGTAAATTAAATTTTTTTTCAAGTCGTGTTATAGTATGACCTACCAAAGTCCAAAATCTATGTATGATACAATATATAAAGTAATTTTGACAGTTGATTAATAATATATTTACCTAAAAACATCTTTCCTGCATTTACAAAAATGGAAATTTAGCCTTCAACTTGCTACTTATGGGCAACATGTGTAAGGTATTTAAATAATGTTTTCAATTGTTAAAAAAAAAAAACTACACGACAATTTATTTATTATTTCCTTGTAGGTAGTAGACATGATTTGGCAGAGCTATATTGTTAAATAAAAATAGAAACAAAAAAATTTACATATAAGAAGTAATTTTCACAAGTATATTATTTTTTCTTGTATTATAATCATTTAAAGATAAATAAACTTATATTTTGTTTTTGTTTAAATTGAAAAAATAATTCTAGTTCAGTATAGAATAAATACATTATAGAAAATATTAACTATAGATATAAGTTGGGAACATTATTCTACCAATTGAATGCACATATTTCTACATATAAAATAATTTGGATAAAATCAATAAATTAACATTAGACCTATAATAGAATAATTTAAGCTTTTAGCACGACTGTAAATGTGTTAATTTACAAAAAATATATACCCTCATTAACTATGGTAAAAATTTGATTTTCTTTTTTATAAGTTAACCAAATTACTACTTCATTAACATGAAACAAGTAAAAAGTATTTATATTATTCATATTTAACATTATGAGATATTTAAATATTATATAATTAAATACAAAATGATAAAAATTATTATCAATTTTTATTGCATACATTTTCTAGTATAATATTAAAATTGTATATAATTACAAAGAGATAAATTTATGATAATATATTTATTTTACAAAAAACTTAGATTAAATTTAGTTTTAAATAAATATGGGTAACTTTTTTTTTTATGTTATAATGAATAATTTATTAATATGTTTATTTATAAAAAAATTTAATTTAGTTTGAAATTTACATAATTATTTTGATAAAACTAGCTAATATTTAATTGAGAAAATAAACAAAAAAAAAAAAAAAATCAAATGAGAACATCTCTTTTTTTATAAATGTTCTACTAATTATATTTTTTTGTCTTATCTATAAATATTAATTATTTAATTCAGAACCTAATACTTAATAAAATTACTATAAATAGGGACATATGCCAATAGAACTACATGTCTACACAACACTGGTTCATGCAAGTCGACGAGTTAATTATACATCTATTTTTTGTTAACTTAACCATTTATATATTTATAAAAAATTAAAATAATAACACTATACTATTTTTAGTTGCAACATTAATAATATGAACTTTTTTGTAACAACTGGAGTCATTTATTAGCCATTTATCATTAAAATTTAACTTTTGCTATTTTATGCTATTAAACATGTATGTATCATGCATAGGAGATTCAATGATTCAATTTTTTTTTTAACTATCTATAAGTACATTTTGTATTTTTACTTTACAAATAAATAATGGAAAAAATACTTTGTTTTGTATTAAATAATTTAATAATGATAAAATATAGTACTTGTTTTTAATAATATAGTGATGAATTGTAAAATTATTATTGAGCACACCTTAGCTAATCAAAATAATTTATATTCCACTGCATATACAGATATGTATTAATAAATATGTGATGGTATAACTATATTATTACCAAAAAATAAATAATACTTTATAGGTATTCAAATGTATACATTTTAATGATAAATATAAACAAGACTCCAATTAAAAATTAGGAATATTTCTACTTTACGGGACAACTTTTTTTTACACTTTTTTTTTTGGAACATAAGTAGTTAAGTACACTGAATATGATGGTGAAGTCTGAATTTTGCGTTCAGCATAATTTCGAAGTTATCACATTCAAAGTTAAGATACAGTTTACTCGTGAGGGTGTTGAATGTTGTACATTAGACTTTGAGTGATTGTAATATTATCAGTGTGCAAAACCTTAATAAGGTAAACATCGAGCATTATGGGTATTTAAAGATTATTGTATAAAGTTAAAATTTCGATTAGCTATAACTTTGAAATTAACTTCATGTGCCAAATTCTGATTTCACCAATATTTTTTTCACCCAAAAATGACTAAGTTCTCCCAAAAAAAAGACCAAAATAACAGATGTCTCATAAAGTAGAAAAGTTCCAAAAATTATTTGTATAAATATATTTTAAATTCATATTTTTTAATTTTAACGATAAGTTATACATTTATTTTACTCAAAAAGTATTATATTATACTTATATCATAATCAATGAAAATAAGTACCCAATTCATAATGAGATAAAAAATTAAAAAATATGAATTTGAAACATAAATATATCAATAATTTTAGTCTTTGTAAATAAATATTTAAATTTTTACATTAAAATTTATAATATTAAAAATAAGTAAGTTGAACAAATATACACATTTTTTTTTTTTAAATTTATTAATTAATATTATTAAAATTTAACAAATGAAACCATTAGTAAAAATAAAATATCAATCTAATATGAATTAATGATATATTATTTTATGTTTGTACAATATTACTCACAGCCAATTGTAAATAGATAAATTGTAAACGATTATGATAAAATTAATTAATTTAATATACTTAGGTACCTAACTGAAATCCAATTTTAGATGCCCTTGTGGGTCAACAGCAAAACATCAATGTAGTGTCACTAACACTGAACTAACACAACCATTTGAGCAACGGTTTGTTGGACGATGTCTAAGAAGACCTACAATGCACTGAGCAACCCTCAAAAATATTGACCAAACGAGGGCAAACTACCAATTCAAACCTTATGCTAATTGTCATGTGTGTGTTTTTATTATATATACAAAGCACTAACCATACACTTAAATAAAAGAAACAGATTATACAAAACTCACCTATATGAAGTTCAAAATTTCACGAATTTGATACAAGCGATTAAATCGAATTTATTCAGCGGTGAAAAAACAATTACTTAACAAAAACTATTTATTTAAAAAACAATTTTGTAATTAATGTTAAATTCGACTGTTTGATTCACTTCTTGTTGCCCCGAGTACCGAGATAATGAACACCTCTCAGATAGCAAGCACTATAAAACATATGTTCGTGTTCATTACCACTCAGTACTCACACCATAGAGGAGCATCAGGCTGTACTGAATACTGAACAATCGTATGAGTGAAGTACGGTACGGTTTATCCCAAATGGTTATGTTTCAAAGATATTCTAAACATTTTCCCTCGCTCTTATCCATTATTTAAAAATAACGTGACTAACTATATACAATTATAACAGCAAAGACTGTTAATTTATTGCTATATTGGTAATAAAATAAATATCCTAAAAAGTCGTATAATGAGTAAAATGCAAATATGTCTATAAAATCACAAAAATCTATTTAATATGTACTTATTCAATAATCAATATATCTACGTATTAAATGTACTCAAATTTCAAACAGTTAAATTTTTATTTATATATTATTTTTTTAAATATTTCTACCATTCAAATTTAATATATTTTATTAGCTATGTTATTAAACAATATATAATCACTGATCGCCCTTTAGAAGTTTAGATAACTTAGAGTAGGTTATTTATGCATAATGAGTTGCTACTTTTAAATTATCTTAATTTTAATTTTAATTATACATTGTACATATAAAAATATTAAATTGAGAATGTTCTAAACACGCTTAATGAATAATGATCAATTGGTAATAGGATCTGACATAATCTCTTCCCCATATTTAAAATCATGTAAGTTACGCTTATTGAAATCATTTTTTTCATTGTCGTAATTTTGGGAACTAGCACTACGAACAAATCATGTCATTCTTTTACATAACTTAAATGCTTTTATTCTGATTGGAACTTTTTTATCATGAACTATGGTGTCATCTTATCTCAGTAATTGTTTTCAACCTTACAGATTATTAAAATACCTTTAATCGTGATGGAGCCCGTACTCCGTATATCTTGTTATTATCAGGCCTATTTTTATGTGAACTACGACACACAATGTACAAGACAAGTGTACACTACGATTTGAACGTGTGTGCACTGCGGTCTATAAAACAAACATTTAATAATGTGCCAGCTACTAGAAAATATGAGTATTTCCTGAATTTTTAAAATTTAAATTATACTGAATTATAATTTCTTTCTATTAATTTTCAAACATTGTTATCAGTCAAAACTATTTTGTTGTTGTATTAAATTATTATATATATATGTGTGTGTGTGTGTGTAATACATTTCTATTTCCGAGAAAGTAGGTAGCGAGAATTAAATTTCCGTTTAAGGTAGTAAAATTAAGTGTGCAGTCCGAAATTTTACAAATAATAGGGTCTGGTTATCAATGTTATCATAAATATTAAATACGTATTCGTGATCATAGAATATATTTATACACACAACAAAAGATTTATAAAATATCAAAGTAAATAAATATAACCATAATCGCAATTCGTGCCTTGAACAAATGTAGTTGTTGCTACAAGCCGTACATAACCGCGGTCGACATACCTACTCCTTGTTAAATAACAATTACCTATTATTGATAATTCTCGGCCGTATTAAGTGAACATGACTTAGTATTTTTAAGATTTAATATGCTTGAATTATATTCAAACGTAGCTTTATAAATTTTATTTTATTTTACTATAAGAACTACGTTTTTGTTAATACTTGATAGTTAGGTACTTAGTACAACAAACTATGGAAAATTTTTACTATTTTTTTTATTAAATTTATAATTTAGACATAATTGCATGGTTAAATATAGTACCTATTTATAAAATAAATAAATATACTACAAATGCTCTTATTAGTAAATGTTATTACAATATTTTACAATACTAAATCATTTACTTTTGCTTTAATCTTAAAGTATGCTTCTTCTTTATTTTGATTGTTTTATTGGTTGAAAACTTGGGTAAGATATTATTCAGTAGGTATTCACTACTGCAATACATTTGTAAGTTCTAAATTAGGATTCGATCATAAAATTTGTCGACTTACATTAACGATTTTGAAGTTATTATATAATATATATATATATTTATATTTAGCATTGGTTTCATAATTGTTCGTATAGTCGTATGGCTTATATCGAAAGATTCAAAGGTACCGATTCATATGTATTGTCAAAAATTTAATTGAATCTTTTGATCTTATATAACAAATTTTAAATTTTTGATGATTATAATGTATCTTTTTTATTTAATATTTATTAAAAAATATATGGGTTTCTCCTTTACATACAAAGCATTAGAGTAAATAGTACAGATAACAATGTAGATAATAATATAGTAATGCATTCAAGAAAACAATTAAGTAGAAATAATGGAATAGAATAATAATATAAAAACAAAACAAATCATCATCAAAGACTCCTAATTAACGAGTATAAGTATCATAATACGTCTCAGAGGCTCATTTTGTATATAGTTAAATTTAGAAATATAGAAAATATTTTAGCAAGATGTGATCGAGATAACAAAAAAAAAGAAAGTAAATTTGGTTTGTTAGAATACCACGAATAAATTTAAAATTTAATACTTTTCTGAGTTCAATAAGAGAAGGCAAGTCAAATAAATTCGAGATATTGGTATAATTTTGAGCTAATGAGAAAATGTTCATATCAAATATTACATAATATAACATAGATATTGTATCATAAATAAATAATAAATACAATTTCAAAATAATTTTTTTTTTTTTTAATTGAGTATCTAGTACTGCTAAGCGTCACTTATAAATTTTTTCATTAATTTTCTGTTATAACACTAAAATCTTATAATTATTAGGGCCCGGATTTATATGCTTTAAATACCATAGAAATATGCACTATCATATTATATGCATTTACACTCTTATTTTGTAGAAATATACCCTTTAAAATAATAAATATGTAAAACAAAAATTTGATTATTAAAAAAAATAAAAATATTTTATACCTATTAACTTATTACATTGAATATTAATTTAAAATAATTAATAAAATAGAATAAAATAAAACAATATGTTTAACATTAATTTTAGTATTTTTGAATCTAAATCTTTTCAGCGATTCGATGTAATCCGTAAACGAAATATATTAAATTAATCATATTGATATAAAATGCATATATCTCTCTATCTTAACCATGCATGGTGTAGCATCAATGACAAAAAAATTAAAGAAAACAAATTCCGTTCGAATCATACTCCATAGGTATATGTGGGTAAAACCAACGAATATTAAAACAAATAGGCAGGTATGAAACACTTAAGTAGATATTAAATTTAAGGTATTTGTATAATGTACAAAAATATGCAATACACATCATAAAAAGACAAAATACGCAAAAATATGTTAAATAAAACTTTGTATTCCAGATCTATTAACTATAATTTAAACTTGTAGCTTATCTAGCTACTTTTTGGACTGTTAAAATAAAAACATGCAAATGCAAATCAGGATTTTACTTATAATATTATGAGTCATCAAACTTACTTATTGTACATTTTAAAACTGTATGGATTGTAAATAAATTCTTTTTGAATAAAAAAAAAATTAATTAAATATTATTGTAAAAAGTCTTAAAAATTTATCTTAACATTATAGTTTAGGTAAGTATATATTATTAAGCTAATTTAACTACTGTTTATTATAGAAATATAATATTTATACTTATACTCAATACTTACATCTCATTCATAATAGCGTACGTTTAATATTTAATTCATATTTTATACTAAATATTTTGCTTATTTTATGAACAAAATATTGCTTTAATTATACTAAAATTATTATAACATTATGGAGTCAAAATTGAAACTTTCCACTGTTCTAAATATTGTATTCAGTCGACATTCGTACGATAATGCAACGCCATCTTTGTGTGTCATTTTGATTTCGTAACATGTACGTAAGAACCACCGCAGTCTAGGTACACGACTAACGATAAACTTTTGTCGCTAGATGACACTGCTGAATATAATGTTTGTTTCTTATTTTTTAATTAAATTATCATTATTCAGATCTCCAAACCAACTGACGATTGATGCTATGACAATGGTAAAATACCATTGAGTTAAATTAATCTGGCTTAACCTATGGTTAATAAAATATTGTGTATTACCTATATTTGTTTTATTGTTTTTAAATTCATTGTATCTTAAAACATCATTAAGTACCTAATGAGTAATGATACACATCCAAAACATTTTGTTATACTTCGACATGGGTGTAAAAAGGGTGGGGCAGGGGGGGACACTTGCTCTCCCCTTCGCTTTACATTAAATTTTATTTCTTACCAAACTATAAAATCGAAAAAGCAAAAAAAAGATAGTTATCAACTGCCCCCCTGATTAAAATCAAGCTACGCCCATGTACTTCGATAATATTATAATGTGTTATATTCCAAGCATACTAATCTGATTAATTTTTATACTGAATAGTCTAAATATTTTATTAATCGTAATTTTTTCCGCAATTCGTCTGTCCTATACTACCGTTTACCTGATATGTCCATATAGATATGACTTAGGTAAAAACGAGACTTCAACTGCTAAATGTTTTTCTACCACTCTGAATTCTACAGCATAACTCGACGACTATATGATAAATTATAATTAACCATAAGTAATAAGCAATAAGTATAATTTATGACTATAATAGTTAGTTGTATAAAATATAAATATGAATGACTATAAAAATTGTACAACAATTATTTTTCGGTTGTATCTTGTATGTTGTCATGAAATATATGCAAGACCTTGTGATTTTATTGTCAGTAATCACTATAATCAATAATTACTTTGTATCATGTATTCATGTAGGTACAGACAGTAAGGTAGACATAAAAAAATAATATTTCTATTAAAATGATGAGTTGAACTTGAATTTACTTTTATTTACTATTGTTTATATAGGTTTTAATATATTGTATGTAGTATGTCTACATATCAACGTATTATTCTAAGAAATTCGTACCTAATAATCGTATAAAATATATTTTGTTATTTTTGTTTCTATTTATATATATATATATATATATGTAATGATAATTTTTTTTAATTTTGTGTTTGCAATACATTTTACATGGCCATATTTTGTCCCAAGTTTTTATCATTTT